TTAGTTTTCTTTAGGCTAATTGTCAGACCAAACTCTTGGCAGGCATCGGATAGGCTGGATACGAGCCTCTACAGGCCGTCTGCTGTGTGAGATACCAAAGCGGCATCGTCCGCAAACAAGAACTCCCGCAGCATGACCTTTCTTGTTTTAGTCTTAGATCTAAGGCGGGCAATGTTGAATAATTTGCCGTCAGCTCTAGTGTGGATGTATATCCCATCGCTGTTGTTCTTAAAGGCATACTGGAGTAGGATAGAGAAAAAGATTGCAAATAAAGTAGGAGCCAGCACGCAACCTTGCTTTACTCCACTACCCACTGGAAAAGCTTCTGAGGCGGCACCGTTATAGCACACTGTGCCCTGCATGTTTTCGTGGAACTGCTTGATGATGTTAAGCAGTCGTGTAGGGCAGCCTATCTTTTTGAGGATCTGAAACAGGCCACTTCTGCTGACAAGATAAAAAGCCTTAGTGAGGTCGACAAACGCAATGTATAAAGGCATATGTTGCTCCCTGCACTTCTCCTGCAGCTGGCGCAGAGAGAAGATCATGTCTATGGTTGACCTACCGGCGCAAAAACCACATTGCGATTCCGGGAGTACACGCGATGCTAGGGTCTGTAGGCGTGTTAATGCAACTCGGGCGAAAGCCTTTCCAACTATGCTGAGGAGGGAGATTCCACGATAGTTGTTGCAGTCACTCTTGTCTCCTTTATTTTTGTACAATGTAACGATGTTTGCATCTTTCAACTCTTGTGGTAGCTGTCTCTGTTCCCAGCACAGAGTAAGGAGATCGTGCAAGGGCCATAATAGTACTCCTTTTCCACATTTGAGAGCTTCTGGTGGCATACCATCATTGCCCGGGGCTTTCCCACTGGCGAGACAATCGATGGCTCTACGTAGCTCTTCTGTGGTGGGTAGGGTATCATGCTCCTCCATGACAGGTAAGTTTGGGATATCGTCCAGGGCTGCGGTTGAGGCATGGTTTATCGTTGCGTATATTTCCAAGAAGTGCTCTATCCACCGCTTTAGTTGTTTATCTCCATCAGTAAAAATTTCCCCTGATTTGGACATTAAAGGCGCACTCTTGGAGATCAGAGGGCCTGTTGTTTGCTTTATATTCTCGTACATTAACTTTGCATCACCTCTATCAGCAGCTGATTGTATGCTGGAGCTTAGATTGAGTCAGGATGTGTTAGCGTAGTGGCGAGTTGCCTGCTGGGCATTTGTCTTGGCGCTTTTAAGCGATTGTAGAGTTGCTGGGCAAGGTCTGTCTTTATAAGCTAAGAGGGCCTTTCTTTTTGCAACGGTGACATGTTTCATTTCCTGCCAATGGGCCTCGAACCAATCTGCACTTTTGCGTTCTCTCTTTCCAAATGCCGTGATAGCCGAGTTATAGATAGTGTCCCGCAAATGTGACCATTTGGACTCAATAGTGTCCATTGGTGGCGTTTGTACAAGAGCTTCTTGTAGACTATGGGTGTATACTTCTGTTCTCTCTGGGTTTTTGGTGGAGCAGATTTTTATGCGTGGTTTACTCTTGTTTTTAGTGTGATACAGTTTCTTTGGCTGTAGCCTTATCTTGCAAGCCACTAAGGAATTATCAGTGTCGCAGTCTGCGCTGTGGTAGCTGCGTCTGAGGAGGACAGTGGCCAGTTGTGTGCGTCTTGTGATGCTGAGATCTAACTGGTGCCCGTGTTTAGAGCGGGGATGTCTCCATGACACTTGGTGGATAGCCTTACAATTGAAATAGGTGTTAGTTACACATAGTCCATGTAGGCAGCACAGTTCCAATAGTCTCTGCCCATTTTAATTTAGCCTGCCTCTTCCAAAATGACCGAGGCATGTTAGCCAGGCCATGTAATCGCTTCCTACTCTTGCATTGAAGTCACCCAAAAAGTAAATTGCTTCGTTGTTGGGTATGCTGGCTATTGTTTGATTAAGATCTTCGTAGAACTGGTCTTTGGCTTCTGAGCTGGAGGAAAGGGTTGGGGCATAAGCACTGAGGATGTTGACTAAACCTGAAGATGTTGATAGTCGGATAGTTAGTATTCTATTTGTGCCCTGTGTCGGTGGTTCTATGGAGGAGGAGAGTGTGTTTTTTATAGCAAAAACCAATACACGTTGTCTTGGTGCGTCCATTGGTCCACCCTGCCAGAAGAAAGTGTAGTTGTGTTCTCTTTTGGTACCAAATTCGGGGAGCCTAGTTTCCTGGAGACAGGCAATATCAATGTTTAGCTGGCTAAGCTCTATATTAATGATAGCTGTCTTCCTTGCATCGTTTATGAGCTGCAGGTTGGCAGTAATGCCCTGGCACATTGTCCTCACGTTCCAGCGTGCTAGTCAAAGAGCTGGGATCTTCTTTTCTCTTGTTTTCTTATTTCTGGGTGCATGTTTTTGTGGCCTACTTGTTGAGATATTCCTCTGAGCTCCACGCAACCAGTGAGACATGGCAATCTCTTCCAACGTCAGAAGCAACCCCTGGCGCCTAGCTCTACGCCAATTGAGCTATGGCTTAAAACCGGTAACTGCTGCTTCCCGTGTTGTGTTTACACCTTTTGGCGATGCTGGAGTGTCCTCTCCAGTGAAGATAAAGCCAATAATATGAAAACATATACTTACCAATCCTGTACCTCCTCTTTGAACTTGAGACACGTGGCGTGATGGATTTGCACATCTCATAAATGATTGATTTGTCTTGCTTTAACTAAGACGTGGAAACTAAGAAAAACGATTTTGAAAAATGAAAATGAAATCCCGGGATTATAAAAAATCCCGGTTTTCATAAATCCCATCCCGGTTTTTTCGAGCATCAGTTATGGTCCTGTATTTTCGAATTTCGGGATCCCGGATTGCAACCCCTAGTTGAAAAGGACAGTTTACTCTGTGGTGTTTATTGGGGTGGGGGACAGAGGCGTAGCGAAGGGGGCAGGGGGGACAGATTTCCCCGGACGCCAGCTAGTTAAGGGCGCCAAAATGTGCTTTAATATTATTTTATTGATGAAAATAATGGGTTTGAGAGTTGAAAAAAGAAAAAGGGGGCGCTTCAAAATGAATCTTGTCCCCGGGCGCCAAACTCGCTCGCTAAACCTCTTGTGGGGGGAAGCTTTGACGTAGTTTTCATACGACTGCTGGAGTCACGTGACAATCGGTGACACGTCATTGTTACTAGTTCTCAAAGGTTCGACATAGCTTTCGCTCGCGTAATTATAATAATAAAGAAGGGTTGGGCAAAAAATCTATTCTAATTTCTCATCCCGCACTCTTTATTTCCTCTAGTTTCAATGTTTTAGACTAGACTGACTGGAAATGATTTTTTAAAAACATTTATCCTAAAGAAGACGTAGTCTTGTAAAAACAAAGATTTAAAAATGCTGACGGCCCACTCCTTTAAGGCCATAGTTATCAATTGTAATTATTTGTTGCCAACCTCGGGGTTTGGGGGTGGGGGTGTTTCGGGGTTTGTATAACGTTCTCTTTAGGTCAAACATGACTCGCGTCGTCGTTATCACAATAAACAAATGACGCGCTCACGACATCGTTAGCACCATTTGAACACGACGCAATCATGAGCTCGTTAGCACCATTCAACAACGACGTCCTCATGAGTTCGTTAGCACCATTCAACCATGACGCACTCATGAGATCGTTAGCACCATCTAACCACGACGTACTCATGAGTTCGTTAGCACCATTCAACCACGACGTACTCATGAGTTCGTTAGCACCATTCAACCACGACGTACTCATGAGTTCGTTAGCACCATTCAACCACGACGTACTCATGAGTTCGTTAGCACCATTCAACCAAGACTACTCATGAGATCGTTAGCACCATTCAACCACGACGTCCTCATGAGTTCGTTAGCACCATTCAACCACGACGTACTCATGAGTTCGTTAGCACCATTCAACCATGACGTACTCATGAGTTCGTTAGCACCATTCAACCATGACGTACTCATGAGTTCGTTAGCACCATCAAACATGACTGTCTCTCTCTCGAATGCGAGAGTAACATCGCAGAGTCTTGAAATTTGTTAAAAAATTAAAACTCATTCCATATTTAATTAATGTAATTTCGATGTGTCTCAAAATCAAGCACCTCTGGGTCTTCATCTTATCTGTCTGTTGACGTAAAATTTATTGGTATCGTCTTCATCTTATCTATCTGTTGACATACAATTTATTGGTATCGTCTTCATCTTATCTATCTGTTGACATACAATTTATTGGTACCGTCTTCATCTTATCTTTCTGTTGACATACAATTTATTGGTACCGTATTCATCTTATCTGTCTGTTGACATACAAGTTATTGCTACCGTCTTCATGGAAGAGTAGACATAATTTTGACGGAAAATATAAGTGACCACACAAGAGCAGGCCATTTTTCGGGAGCTCTTAAAGATACGTATTTTTGAATTACTTTAGAAATGGATAAGAAAATTCAGGTGTAATAATATTATTTTCAGTCGCCATGGTTTCCTGGTTTTTTTCAATCTCCTGATGGCCCAATCAGAACTCGATTCTTGCAGGAACGCACGGGAACGGCATTCCTGAACTCTTATTTGAACAGACACTTAAAAATAAATGTTTTACTGCATTTGGTAAGGGTGAAATTTTGGGTGAGTTTAGACACTTTTCCAACCAGGACATGATCCCTGGATTTAATTATACATAGAATTTGATTACGAAAAATTAATGGGAAACTAAAGTGGCGCCTCCTTTATGCAAAATGTTTATTCAAATTAAGGATTAACTATACAATTAAAAGAAAATATACATAATGAAAAATTAAAAATTATTTGAAGTACGTGTTTAAAAAGTTAGTTTATTTTATTATAATTATAATACAAGAGTGGATTTCTGGGCAAAGTCAAACTTAAAGACAATACGATGTAAACAAACGACATGTGTATTACAGTGTCAGTGGAGAAAAATGACATAATAGAAATGTTACAGCCTTGGGATACAAAGTTTCAACAAAACCCACGAACGCTATTCCTACTCGTAGCCAGCAGCAGCATAGGTAGTGAAGTTGAATAGGATGACCTCCCCTTTCTTTGGGACATAGCTAGACACACCTGCAAGAAAGACAACTCAGTGGTTACCGCCATTGGGCGTGATCTTTAAGACACGGACCTGTCGGTTATTCTGTATGGCAAGACATCATTAAGACACCTTCGTGTCAAGTTCACCATGTCATCCAATGGTGTTTAATTGACACGATAGCTATCAAAGGAATAAATAAATGGAGGTTATCTGTGGCATTCACGCTTTTATTGCTAGTTTCTATGAAACATCAACACATGTCCGGCATTAGACTCTTCTCTTCTTTAAACACTTTTCCAAACACCTCCGATTAAATGTACGGGGGCCGAATACTAATTCATTACATTTTATTTTCTGGTACTTCTAAAATAATGTTAAAATATGTTACTTTCTTTACGCAATATGCGTGTACATCGCATTGTATTATACATCTACTAAATATGGCTACAAATAAATATTTTTTAAATAAAATTTAATAAACATATAGATCTAATCTAAATGAAAAAAAACAAAAGTAGAAATAGATAACGTATGTTGTTATCACATAGGACAACTGTTCACTCAAGCCATTGAAAACAAAATAAACAACGAGAGAAAAGTTCAAAGAGCAACATTTTCTTTACAAAATGTCTAAAATTATCCCACCACGTACTTCAAGCTCGAGATTATTATTTGCAAACGGAAAGCTGAATAGGACTCACCGCACTCAAGGGCCTTCCCAGCACTGCTGATGTGCCAGAATGTTTTATTGGGTATCGAACCCTCAACTCCATTGATGCTGTCGATGAAGTAGCCAAGACCGGCGAAGTATGTGGATTTGAATCTGGGGAGCAGAGTATTCTCTTAATATTACCCCTGGGTGTGACGTAAGTTTAATCAAGAAAAATTACGGTTTGGGTGTGCACTACGTCATTATAGTCAATTAAACAAATAAGATTTGGATGTGCACTTCGTCATCATACTCCATTAAATAAATACGATTTGGATGTGAACTTCGTCATTATACTCCATTTAACAAACAAGATTTGGATGTGAACTTCGTCATTATACTCCATTAAACAAATAAGATTTGGATGTGCACTTCGTCATTATACTCCATTAAACAAAAAAGATTTGGATGTGCACTTCGTCATAATACTCCATTAAACAAATAAGATTTGGATGTGAACTTCGTCATTATACTCCATTCAACAAATAAGATTTGGATGTGAACTTCGTCATTATACTCCACTAAACGAATAAGATTTGGATGTGAACTTCGTCATTATACTCCATTAAACAAATAAGATTTGGATGTGCACTTCGTCATCATACTCCATTCAACAAATAAGATTTGGATGTGAACTTCGTCATTATACTCTATTAAACAAATAAGATTTGGATGTGAACTTCGTCATTATACTCCATTAAACAAATAAGATTTGGATGTGAACTTCGTCATTATACTCTATTAAACAAATAAGATTTGGATGTGAACTTCGTCATTATACTCTATTAAACAAATAAGATTTGGATGTGAACTTCGTCATTATACTCCATTAAAAAAATACGATTTGGATGTGCACTTCGTCATTATACTCCATTAAACAAATACGATTTGGATGTGAACTTCGTCATTATATTCCACTAAACAAATAAGATTTGGATGTGAACTTCGTCATTATACTCTATTAAACAAATAAGATTTGGATGTGAACTTTGTCATTATACTCCATTAAACAAATACGATTTGGATGTGAACTTCGTCATTATACTCAATTAAACAAATAAGATTTGGATGTGAACTTCGTCATTATACTCCATTAAACAAATAACATTTGGATTAGCATGACGCCATGAAACTAAAGAATACAAGCACGATTAAGCACATTATTGAAGTCATATCCAATTTGATATCATCAAATATGACTTTATCTGAACCAACATTGTTATTAAAAATACAAAAATTTTGTAGCTTTGTAACTTTGCTTTATCTACACGTGGAAAGGAGCAATGCATTTTCAAGAGTTAAAAATTTAAAAAAGTGCAATAAATTAAACATTTGGGTAAAAAATATGTGCTTTGTTGAAATAGAATTTTATTTTATGTTATCTTTTTATCTTTCTTTTTAATTTCAAAAATACTAGCTGGCTTCTTCTTTTCTTTAGTGATGTCATAAATAAAATAAGATATAAAAAGAACTAGTCCACAGTCAACAGTTGAATCATTTTATGTTGCGTTCATTATTTTACTTCACTGTCAATATAAAACATTACATTCTTAAACAACATACATTTTTGTTTACATTAGTGTAAACTTACAAAAACACACACATGTGAAAATGTCGGCTGAATTTCTGCTTCTTTTCTTTTCCTACATATTAAAGTATTAATTCAGACAGAGACATTTTTAGTGTTTACGCTGTGATAGTAATAGTCCAGATGGAGTACACATCTAAACTCATGATTCTTTGGACACTTTGGAATACTGAAGCATATGTTAAGTATTAGGTTTTATCAAAATGCAGTTTCACATAAATTTTCTCGCTATGTTCCTACTAGATATATACTTATTACTTGTTATTAAATTCTTCTATTTAAATGTCCACCATACTTGAAGCCGTTAAGTAGCTCTACGGCCTGCTCCAGGAAGGACAGCAGTTCTCGCTGGGGTTCGCCGGTGATGGCAGCAACCAGGTCAAAATTTGGAGCCACGAGTAGGTTGGTGGCCCGCACGGTGACGTTGATCGGCTTGCCACACAGCCCGCACGGGGGCTGCTCCAGCTGACATTGGGTTACGTTGACCTGCAGCTGGGGTTGGTTCCCTGGTCGGGGTCCCGGGTGGTTCTTGTTGTTTGCTCTTCCAGGAAAACTGGAAAAACAATATTTTTTTTTGAATTAGAATATGATTGTGGTTCCATGTTTTGAAAATTGGGATAAGCCACATTTGAAACATTCTACTTTTTAAAAAAAAATAAAATTTATTGACACTTTGATACGCGATATGTTCAAAGATGGTATGAAATCTATTTGTAAAATTATTTTTTGGGAGAATGAATGAGGTTATTAAAAAGACAGAATACTCGGTTATAACAAGGGGTCATAACATAATTTTGCACAGAATGTCACGGTAGCCAGGTAGCTAAAAGTTACAGAGAGACGTACGAAATGTAAATTTGGGCAAATACAAAGAGTGAGGGGGATGCAAAAAAAAATCAAATGGTCACGCACATGAATCAAGGGCACACCATATTGACGTCTAGGCACACATGATTGACGTCTAGGGCACACAAGATTGACGTCTAGGGCACACAAGATTGACGTCTAGGGCACACAAGATTGACGTCTAGGGCACACAAGACTGACGTCTAGGGCACACAAGATTGACGTCTAGGGCACACAAGATTGACGTCTAGGGCACACAAGATTGACGTCTAGGACACATAAGATTGAAGTTTAGCACACAAGATTGACGTCTAGGGCACACAAGATTGACGTCTAGGGCACACAAGATTGACGTCTAGGACACACAAGATTGACGTTTAGCACACAAGATTGACGTCTAGGGCACACAAGACTGACGTCTAGGGCACACAAGATTGACGGCTAGGGCACACAAGATTGACGTCTAGGGCACACAAGATTGACGTCTAGGGCACACAAGATTGACGTCTAGGACACATAAGATTGAAGTTTAGCACACAAGATTGACGTCTAGGGCACACAAGACTGACGTCTAGGGCACACAAGATTGACGTCTAGGGCACACAAGATTGACGTCTAGGGCACACAAGATTGACGTTTAGGGCACACAAGATTGACTTCTAGGACATACTCAAAATGTACATTAGGAAATGGCGTCAGCGAGCAGTTGAGCTAGTACATTAGCTCTTTATGCCCTCCCCAAAGCACTCCCCCCCCCCCAAGTCAGAGTTATCGGGCCACACAGCGTCACGTTGGTGATCTCCCTTTGCCAAGACAGCCCCCGTACTCAGTCGATCGAGTACTAGAGGAGGTCACCTGAGCCAAAGGACATCCGGTCGGCCGGTGATGCTGCTCTCACAGCGTCAGCAGTCAACTTTCCTAGGAGTCGGGGAAGCGTCAGACGCCCTCTAATGGCGATATCAACAGTGGATTTCTACCTCGCAAGTAATTAATGTAGCAGCTGGGGCGAAACGGTTGCCTAGTAACAGCTACATCAATTGCTGTGTAAATGGAATCATCGGCATGAAGTTGCCACTGCCCACGTCATGCCTCATATTCTTTAACGGCAACATGTAATCAGGAAACACAAGATTGCTGTTTCACACACATGATATTAAAAAGATAAACACCACAAATTTATTAGTCGTGCTACAAGTTCTTTTTCTCAATCTTCTCCAACACAGTTCACCTCATATCTCACATATAGTGTGGAACATTTGGGTTTGTTGTAAATCACAGGCTATTTTGCAATGACCGTAAAACAAAACCATTTTTGTAAGAAATAAAGAGCTACGGGTATAGTGTAGGACTGTCTGTAGGACTATTGTTTCAAATCCGGCAGGCAGGGTGCAGGACTATCTGTAGGCCTACTGATTATAGATAATGTGATCTTAACTCTTTTTTGACACTTGGACCCACCAGGTATTTTACCAAAATACCCGATGTAAAAAAAAACTGCACCCGGTTAAGCCCTATTCTTACTATAAAATATTCTATCAAAGATTACTCACGGTCCTCTGTCCCTGTACCGACCACCATGGGCAGTCACCACCAATAAAAGACATCCCAGGCTGAACAGAGATATCAATCCATTGAACGCCATGTTGTATGTTGTATCCTTGCTGTATTGACTACACTTCCGGAACCAAACAAACTCAATAATTTATTAACATTAAAAATTATAATAGCAAAAATGTATTTACCTTTTAAAAAGTAATTTATGTTTTAACATATGAGAATTTGACAAGTAACACGTAGTTAAGACCAACGCCCTATCTCCTGACCCAACAGCAGTGGCCAGTGACCCCCGGGAGGTAGAAATTATTTTGCCACCCCCTTCAGGAAAAAACTGCATTTGTCCAAAAATGTTGCCACCAACAAAAAAAAAAAGGAGCACCCTTCCATCCCCTTCCTACGCTACTCATCGGGCAGTAGTTTGATCAGCCGACAGCCTCATACAGTCTCCTAAAGGAGCTCGAAGAATTTATTTTTGTCACAGAAATTTGCTACAGAATGAATGGTAGTTTATGATAACGGTTTCACTGCTTCTCATCCCTAAATACAAAATATGCATTTAATCTGTTCTGATTTTTTAAAAAAAATCACGCCGTTTAAATGTTCCTCTTTTATGTAAAAAGTATTGAACTTTCAGATTTTTGATGGGAGAATTCTTTCCGCATAAACTACCTTTTCATACACTCGCAACTAATATTTAAATACAGTAAGCAGGGGAAAACACTTTTCAAAGAAGTTCTTTCCTCACTAAAATGCGAATGGAGGACGAAACACCTAGAAAACAAGAACAACACCATAAGATCATTTATGCTTCTACCTATGTAGGATAAACAACAACCAGCACCAGCGTTACGTCGTCCTGTTCAAACGGGAATTGAAGCTGTCACGGTAAACTTTGCATCCATTTATAGGTGTGCTCTCAGTTTCACTTGAAGGCTAGTAGAAGCCTTGACATGGTGTGGAGTTTTACGGGAGTAGGTGGGGGTTGAACGGTGTTGGTCGTCAACATGGTGTCTCATATTGTGTCAGAGGTTCCAAATAGTGGCTCCATATCGACAATCAAGATCCAGATTGTTGTGTTGATAACCCCTCCCCCCCCCAAAAAAAAAACAACAAAAAACAACAAAACAAACAAATTTAAAAAAAAAATTAAAAAAAAAAAAAAAAAAAAAAACAANCTCTTCCCCATTCTCCTTCTCTTCCCCATTCTCTTTCTCTTCCCCATTCTCCTTCTCTTCCCCATTCTCTTTCTCTTCCCCATTCTCCTTCTCTTCCCCATTCTCTTTCTCTTCCCCATTCTCCTTCTCTTCCCCATTCTCTTTCTCTTCCCCATTCTCCTTCTCTTCCCCATTCTCTTTCTCTTCCCCATTCTCCTTCTCTTCCCCATTCTCTTTCTCTTCCCCATTCTCCTTCTCTTCCCCATTCTCTTTCTCTTCCCCATTCTCCTTCTCTTCCCCATTCTCTTTCTCTTCCCCATTCTCCTTCTCTTCCCCATTCTCTTTCTCTTCCCCATTCTCCTTCTCTTCCCCATTCTCTTTCTCTTCCCCATTCTCCTTCTCTTCCCCATTCTCTTTCTCTTCCCCATTCTCCTTCTCTTCCCCATTCTCTTTCTCTTCCCCATTCTCCTTCTCTTCCCCATTCTCTTTCTCTTCCCCATTCTCCTTCTCTTCCCCATTCTCTTTCTCTTCCCCATTCTCCTTCTCTTCCCCATTCTCTTTCTCTTCCCCATTCTCCTTCTCTTCCCCATTCTCTTTCTCTTCCCCATTCTCCTTCTCTTCCCCATTCTCTTTCTCTTCCCCATTCTCCTTCTCTTCCCCATTCTCTTTCTCTTCCCCATTCTCCTTCTCTTCCCCATTCTCTTTCTCTTCCCCATTCTCCTTCTCTTCCCCATTCTCTTTCTCTTCCCCATTCTCCTTCTCTTCCCCATTCTCTTTCTCTTCCCCATTCTCCTTCTCTTCCCCATTCTCTTTCTCTTCCCCATTCTCCTTCTCTTCCCCATTCTCTTTCTCTTCCCCATTCTCTTTGTCTTCCCATTTCTCTTCCCATTTCTCTTTCTCTTCCCCATTTTCTTTCTCTTCCCCATTCTCCTTCTCTTCCCCATTCTCCTCTTCCCCATTCTCTTTCTCTTCCCCATTCTCTTTCTCTTCCCCATTCTCCTCTTCCTCATTCTCTTTCTCTTCCCCATTCTCCTTCTCTTCCCCATTCTCTTTTTCGCTGTAACAATTTCCTCCCCCTCGCCCTCCCTTTTTTATCTTTAAGGAAATTTCTCTTCCTCGCTCCCCCTTTCTCTTCCTATTCCCCCCCCTTTCTCTTCCTCGCTCCCCTTTCTCTTCCTATTTCCTCCCTTTCTCTTCCCATTTTCCCCTTTTCTCCTCCTCGCGCCTCTTTTCTTTTCCTCGCTCCTCCCTTTCTCTTCTTCGCTCCCCCTTTCTCTTCCTATTTACCCCCTTTCTCTTCCCATTTCCCCCCTTTCTCTTTCTCGCTCCTCCTTTCTCTTCCTCGCCCCTCCTTTCTCTTCCTCGCCCCTCCCTTTCTCTTCCTCACCCACCCTCTCTTCCTCACCCTTAATACTCCATTGCCTCATGCGGAATAAAACAGGCTCACTTTGGCTTTGTAAAAATATAGTTATTAGCATCATTTAAAATGTACGCGTTTCCTTATATGTTATCTGGAAAAATCAAAACTTTAATTATACAACCCCTAAAAACAAAGTTGTTCGCATAAATCCTTTGTCTGTTATTTAATTTTATATTATACTAATATTCTAATCTCCCGTCCGCTTTTACACCGCAGATTTATTTCACCAACTATTTCAGAAAAGACAAAATAAAATATTACGCACTAAACGAAATTTTTTTTAAAAACAATCTCATTTAGCGCAGTTATGGGAATTTTATCTTATGAAATCAATGTCATCATACTTCCTTCATCTTCCTCTTGAAAAGGGGGAGAAATTCATTTTTAAGGGTTGGGCACATGGGATGAAAATTTGACAGAATGTTTTGCCATCTGCAACAAGTCCATGTGCTAAGTTTTAGGAAAAGAGTAAAACACAGTAAGGTTAAACCTAAAAAAAAAAAAAAAAGAAAAAAAACAACGAACGTGTCGGTAGGAAACCTTCGTCAACAAAAAAAAAAAAAAAAAAAAAAAAAAAAAAAAATCAACATGGTGTCTCATACTGTGTCAGAGGTTCCAAATAGTGGCTCCATATCGACAATCAAGATCCAGAATGTTGTGTTGATAACCCCTCCCCCCCCCAAAAAAAAAACAACAAAAAACAACAAAACAAACAAATTTAAAAAAAAAATTAAAAAAAACAACAAACAAACAAACAATGGTATTCCATTTTATCGCTATAAGATTTGTGAATGAAATATCGAGTCGAACCTTTGCGTTTCGGTTGTATTGTTCATTCACGTTTTTTTGGATCGCAAGCTAGAAATATGGGATAATAAAAAAAATAAACATTTAAGACCTTCTAAGAAATGAGCGACCACTGTATTATTGAACACTAGAGATATCTCAATAATTACTTCCTGTTGCGTAGCTACTGTAACTGTCTGTCATGTCATTCCCACGGTACGGGGTACATATGTACCTCTCTGTTATGACAGTAACACGGTATAGTGTACACATGTAACTCGCTGTCATGACAGTAACGCAGTATGGGCTACATATGTAACACTCTGTCGTGACAGTAACACAGTAAAGTGTACACATATAGCTCTTTCTCTCTCTCTTTCTCTCTCGTGGCATTAATACGGTATTCCAAATCAAGCAAAGAAAATCCGGCCAATGAATTTTTTTTCCGTTAATTTTAAGATGGTCACTTTGATAAACCTGTTATTTTAATTTAAGATTTTAAACGAATGATCGACTAAGTCGATATTTTGAGACTCGCCACCTCTTACAAAATCATTTAAGGATTTTCTTCCCGGTGAACCAGGATGTTTGCACCTGGCAAAGGTTCAAGTCTTTTTTTTAACAGGAGTCATAACCACATTTTAAAATAGTATTATTTATATTATTCAAGTTCAAAAGATCATCCTTACAAGCGGGATCTTTTATTCCAAATGTTTACTACGTGAAGGCCACACATTTTAAACTACTGATAAGGTGGCCATAATTTAAAGGTTATCTGAATGCTGAGAATAGTTACTGTCGACAATAAAACATGCTGTAAGTGTATGTGTATGTGTGTGAAGCGGTTCAAAATTCGCCGAATACCGAAGTCTGTCCAATAAAAGATCTATTTCCCATCTTTCCCTTTTAACCTCATTGCCCTTTCTTTTCTCTTCCAAGCCCATCCAATGTCTTGCCCCCCACCTTCCCCTTTCTATTCTTGATTCTTTCTCTTCCCCATTCTATTTCTCTTCCCCATTCTCTTTCTTTCCCCCATTCTCCTTCTCTTCCTCATTCTCTTCCCCATTCTCTTTCTCTTCCCAATTCTCTTCTCTTCCCCATTCTCTTTCTCTTCCCCTTTCTCTTCCCCATTCTTTTTCTCTTCCCCATTCTTTTTCTCTTCCCCATTCTTTTTCTCTTCCCCATTCTCTTTATTTTCCTTATTCTCTTTCTCTTCCCCATTCCCATTCTCTTCCTCATTCGCTTTCTCTTCCCCATTCTCTTTCTCTTCCCCATTCTTTTTCTTTTCCCAATTCTCCTTCTCTTCCCCATTCTCTTTCTCTTCCCCATTCTCCTTCTCTTCCCCATTCTCTTTCTCTTCCCCATTCTCCTTCTCTTCCCCATTCTCTTTCTCTTCCCCATTCTCCTTCTCTTCCCCTTTCTCTTTCTCTTCCCCTTTCTCTTTGTCTTCCCTCTTCTCTTC